GGGGACTGCAGAAGGTGTCCGGCCGCGTTTCATGCTGGAGCCGCCGGGCCGGGTGGCAGCCTCGCCGGTCCGGCGGCACTCCTCTCACTAATGCTGAGGACGGAAGGAGGAGGAGCATGTCTCTCTATCATGCTCCCTGCGGTTCCCACAATTCCCAGCACAGGATGTGGGAAGCGCAACGGAGCATGAGGGAGAGACATGCTCCTCCTCCTTCCGTCCTCAGCATTAGTGAGAGGAGTGCCGCCGGACCGGCGAGGCTGCCACCCGGCCCGGTGGCTCCAGCATGAAACGCGGCCGGCCCCCTGTGTCTCAAGTCAGAGAAAGAGGGGGAATAGAGAGATGGGGAGGGGGGAGAAAGAGGGGGGGAGAGATGGGGAGGGGAGAAAGAGAGATGGGGAAAGAGGGGGAGAGAAAGAGAGGGAGAGAATAGAAAGAGGGGGAATAGAGAGATGGGGAGGGGGGAGAAAGAGAGGGAAGAATGAGACACAGGGGGAGAAAAAGGGGGAATAGAGAGTTGGGGGATGGGGGAGAAAGAGAGGGAAGAATGAGACACAGAGGGAGAAAGATGGGGGAGAGGGGAGAAAGAGACAGAGAGGAAGAGAGATGTGGGGGAGAGAGAGACACAGGGAAAGGGGGGAGAAAGAAACAGTGGAAGAGAGAGACAGGGAGAAAGGAGAGAGACACACAAGGGGAGGAGGAGAAAGAGGCAGAGAGATAAGAGAGACTAGGAAGGAGAGGGGAGACATAGACACAGGAGCAGTGAGGGGGAGAAAGAAACATACAGAGGGACAGGGGGAGACAAAAAGGCAAACAGAAGGGCTGTATATATCACTGGTGGATCCAGGGGGGCAACGGGGCAATTGCCCCCCCTCCCCTGTCCGCAGGCACCGTGCAGCCTGCAGCTCCTCTGGGTCCTTCTTGCGCGAGCACAGAGCGTTGCCGCTGTTACCATGGCAACGTTACCGCTCTTGCGAGAGTCAACTCTAGCCCTGGAGCTACGAGCTAGAGTTCACTCTCAACACTGTGACCACCAGGGATTCCTGGTGGTCGCAGTGGTGAGAGTGAACTCTAGCCCCATAAACACACTGCCCCCACACACACACACACACAATACACATTCACACACTGACGCCACACACACACCATACACATTCACACACTGCCCCCCATACACACACACTGCCCCCCCATACACCATAGACATTTACACACATTGCCTCACACACACACATACACTGCCCACCCATATACACACAGACCCCCATACACAGCCCCCCATACTAACATTGCCACACACATACACAGCCCCCTCATACACACATTGCCCCACACACCCTACACATTCACACACTACACACACACTGCACCCCTCACACATTGCACCACTGCTCCTATACCCTACTACAGCCCCATATCCCAGCAGACCCCAGGTAAGTTGTCAAACTGTTCTTAAACGGTTTGACTACTTACTCTGGGAGGGGGCCCGGCCCTCCTGGCACCATAACCACTACACAGAGCAGTAGTGGTTATTGTGCATGGATTATTTCTTTAAATAATCTACAAGTGCCCAAGTAGCCAGCCAGCAAGCCAACCCACAGGCAGCCCACAATCCACCAGTTAGCCAGCCCACAGGCCAGCCAGGCCAGTAGCCAGCCCACAGGCCTACAGCAAGCCACAGGCTTACAGTCAACAAGCCCACAGCCTGCCAGCCGCAGCCAGTAAGCCACAGCCTGCCAGCCGCAGCCTGCCAGCCGCAGCCAGCAAGCCCACAACCTGCCAGCCGCAGCCAGCAAGCCCACAGCCTGCCAGCCGCAGCCAGCATGCCCACAGACTGCCAGCCAGCAACAGCAATTAAGGTAAGAGGAGCCAACTTGGCCTAGGTATCAGCGAGCTATGTTGTGTTGCTATATTGTGAATAGGAACCAGAGTGTTGGAGAGACCCCCCTCCAGGCCCCATTAGACTCCATTGTAGTCTCTAATGGGGCCTGGAGGAGATTCTTTCTAACACACTCTCTAAAGGACACTGAGATAGCCTCTGCCAGAAATCCCCTCCATGGCCCATTAGCCCTCAATTGTAGTCTCTACTGGGGCCTGGAGGCGACTGTTTCCAGCAGGGGATATCTAATGGACGCTGAGATGGCCTCTGTTAGAAAGACCACCTTCCAAGCCTATTAGACTCCATTGTAGTCTCTAATGGGGCTTGGAGGGGATTCTTTCTAACACACTCTCTAAAGGACACTGAGATAGCCTCCGCTAGAAAGACCCCCCTCCATGGCCCATTAGCCCTCAATTGTAGTCTCTACTGGGGCCTGGAGGCAACTGTTTCCAGCAGGGGATATCTAATGGACGCTGAGATGGCCTCTGTTAGAAAGACCCCCTTCCAAGCCTATTAGACTCCATTGTAGTCTCTAATGGGGCCTTGGAGGGGATTCTTTCTAACACACTCTCTAAAGGACACTGAGATAGCCTCCGCTAGAAAGACCCCCCTCCATGGCCCATTAGCCCTCAATTGTAGCCTCTACTGGGGCCTGGAGGTGACTGTTTCCAGCAGTGGCTATCTAATGGACGCTGAGATGGCCTCTGTTAGAAAGACCACCTTCCAAGCCTATTAGACTCCATTGTCGTCTCTAATGGGGCTTGGAGGGGATTCTTTCTAACACACTCTCTAAAGGACACTGAGATAGCCTCCGCTAGAAAGACCCCCCTCCATGGCCCATTAGCCCTCAATTGTAGCCTCTACTGGGGCCTGGAGGTGACTGTTTCCAGCAGTGGCTATCTAATGGACGCTGAGATGGCCTCTGTTAGAAAGACCACCTTCCAAGCCTATTAGACTCCATTGTCGTCTCTAATGGGGCTTGGAGGGGATTCTTTCTAACACACTCTCTAAAGGACACTGAGATAGCCTCTGCTAGAAAGACCCTCCTCCATTAGCCCTCAATTGTAGTCTCTACTGGGGCCTCGAAGGGATTATTGCACTTTTGTTCCTTGTGTCTAAAGATTGTGTAGGGTGTGGATGGAGGCGGGACAAGGGTGGCGCTTGCTGCGGAGTATGGGTGGGGCCTGTAAGGGGGCCCTTGATTTATTTTGCCCGGGGCCCCTGAGGGTTCTCAGTCCGCCCCTGTCAAAGGACTTCCTATCTGAGAGCACCTGGAGTACCTGGGAGAGAATTGAGTTTGTACTGTTTGTACTGAGTTTGTACTGTTCCTGACTCAATTATCTACCTGGCACAGGGGAGGAGTTTGTGTGTAATTGTATGGAGAACCCCTGCTGGGGTCTATATAACATGAAATATATTCCTGTTGTACCCTTCATCAAGTCTTGGTTGATGTTTGGGTAACCAAGGGCTCTGATCACTGTTTCACGGGGGGTTTGCAAGACTTACAACAGATGTACTCAGTCGGAGTATAGAGGATTCGTTACAGCGCCTAGCAGTGTACTGCGAATATATACTTAATACTGATATCAGGGCTCCCAATTTCCCCAGTAGCCATATTGTTAAAATTCACCCCTGGACTACAAATTTTAAGCCCTACTAATATTAATACGTTTTGCAATGCACTGATTGACCAATTTTCATGCTTTTTTTGTTCATCTGAATCATTTTCCTGAATATTTTTCATGGATGATATTTGGAAAAACCGGACCGTCAAATTAACAATTATTAGAGCTTCTGAACTAACTTGAATTTTTAGAAAAAAATTTTTGTCTGAACCAAATTGTTCTGCTGTGAACTTGCCTAGTGTGTATAAGGTAGGATAGGGCTTTACAAATTCTGAGAAGTGGGTGCATTCCAAGTATGTAGAAAGAACGATACCCTTCAAAGTTCTAGTACAAATCTAGATGTGGTGGACCACCACGGGACCAAGGGATTTCAGCCCTCTGAAAATTCCAAGTATGTAGCATAATAGCATAATAATTTGGATTACGGACTGGTTTGGCTATTCATGGACCAGAGGTGCAGGTTTGCCAAACCCTCTCACTCCACAATGAATTTGTGAGAAGAGGCGTATCAGCAGGCCCAGTAATACATTGTGACAAATAGGGCCTTCACCTAGGATACTAGTTCAGGGGATAGTTAGCAGAGCTATGAGCTCGAGAAATAATAGCAGCCCTTCCTCCTTCTTTTGGGGGGATGGTCCCGATTTCAGTGTCCAGTCCCACTGTGCTACTTTAGGTCCCTGGGAACACCAGGGAACTTCCTTCCTATGGAATAGCCTGCCCACCACCATCCAACTCTCCCCTAGCCTTCAATCGTTTAAGAAGTGCCTTAAAACCATTCTTTTTAGGAAAGCTTTTGGCGTCCCAAAGTAACCTCTACCTCACATACTTGTCTCTTGCTCTCTCCTAAAGGGGCAGCACTTTACTCTCTAGTCCAGCTCTGCTTCACTCCCATCATGCAAATTCCTGTCCTATTGTGTTTTATACCCCACCTCCTATAGACTGTAAGCTCATTTGAGCAGGGCCCTCTTCAACCTATTGTTCCTGTAAGTTTTCTTGTTATTGTCCTATTTATAGTTAAATCCCCCCCTCTTATAATATTGTAAAGTGCTACGGAATCTGTTGGCGCTATATAAATGGCGATAATAATAATAATAGATCATTGTTGACCTTTTAACTGTGTGTCTGTTGCATGTTGCAGCAATCTAAATTGTGATCTTTGGTTGTGCTACAAGTCAAGAGTCATAAAAAAAGAAGCAATGTCTTGTCGGAATGTTAATTTACTGTGGATTAGTAGTCATCGTTTAAAGGAAGGCTGTGTAATGTACCCTGTACACCAGTTACCAGTGTAGGTAGGGTTTTAAGACCACTCTGTTCTACTACTAATGTAAATAATGGGAACTTTTGTATGGGCGCTGGATTAATTCATGGATTCATTAATGATGATTATGGCATAAGAAGTACCCTGGCTCCACTGTCAGAGTGTAAGAAGTCAAACCGTTTTAGAATGGATTGACCTTTTACCTGCAGTATGTTAGGATCTGCTCCTTTCTTGCATTAATTCAAAGAGTGTTAAACTCTCCATCTGAGTCCTTATTCCCTGACACTGGACCAGGCTGAGGGTTCTTATTCCCTGACACTGGACCAGGCTGAGGGTTCTTATTCCCTGACACTGGAACAGGCTGAGGGTTCTTATTCCCTGACACTGGAACAGGCTGAGGGTTCTTATTCCCTGACACTGTACCAGGCTGAGGGTTCTTATTCCCTGACACTGGACCAGACTGAGGGTTCTTATTCCCTGACACTGGAACAGGCTGAGAGTTCTTATTCCCTGACACTGGAACAGGCTGAGGGTTCTTATTCCCTGACACTGGGCCAGGCTGAGGGTTCTTATTCCCTGACACTGGAACAGGCTGAGGGTTCTTATTCCCTGACACTGGACCAGGCTGAGGGTTCTCATTCCCTGACACTGGAACAGGCTGAGGGTTCTTATTCCCTGACACTGGAACAGGCTGAGGGTTCTTATTCCCTGACACTGTACCAAGCTGAGGGTTCTTATTCCCTGACACTGGGCCAGGCTGAGGGTTCTTATTCCCTGACACTGGACCAGGCTGAGGGTTCTTATTCCCTGACACTGGACCAGGCTGAGGGTTCTTATTCCCTGACACTGGACCAGGCTGAGGGTTCTCATTCCCTGACTCTGGAACAGGCTGAGGGTTCTTATTCCCTGACACTGGACCTGGCTGAGGGTTCTCATTCCCTGACACTGGACCAGGCTGAGGGTTCTTATTCTCTGACACTGGACCAGGCTGAGGGTTCTTATTCCCTGACTCTGGACCAGGCTGAGGGTTCTTATTCCCTGACACTGGACCAGGCTGAGGGTTCTTATTCCCTGACACTGGACCAGGCTGAGTGTTCTTATTCCCTGACACTGGACCAGGCTGAGGGTTCTCATTCCCTGACACTGGACCAGGCTGAGGGTTCTCATTCCCTGACACTGGAACAGGCTGAGGGTTTTTATTCCCTGACACTGGAACAGGCTGAGGGTTCTTATTCCCTGACACTGGGCCAGGCTGATGGTTCTTATTCCCTAACATTATTCACTGATATTGAACCAATCTGAGGGTCCCTATTGCTTGACTCCAGACTAGTCTTCCCAACACAACGTCATTTGCAATATTTTTTATGTAAATAGTCTATTTTGACTTTCTCACTTCTTCCCAAAATGTTATTTTGATGTATGAGAGATGTTTTCCTAATTTCCAGTAAGCAACATTTGCATCATTTTGTCTTAATGTGTAATAATGTAAGTGTCTGGTGTTATTTGTAATAAATTGTTAATTACCAATAAGAGCCGTTGCGATAATATTTAGAAAGGCGTCTACCCTTGGCCAGACTCTATAAAGTGCTTGTGAACCTGCTGATGACGAGCCTCGTGATAATATTATAATAATTATATAATGCCGCCATGTGCCAAATTAATTATGGAATTCAGTGTTCCGGATTAATTATGCATAATTGCAAAGTGTGTTTAATGATTCACTTGCAATTAGATGCCAGACATCCTATTTTGAAGGATTTTGAAAGTGGACACTTCCAGAAGCAATAAAGGGTGTACAGTCCAATGTCCAATTAGACTCTATATTGTAACAGTATATAGTATATAATTCACATGTTCTGAAGTAAGCTCAGGAGCAGTGCTATTTCAGTGGAACCCAAATCTGTTGGAACAGAACTACAGAAAGAAAACATTGCATATTCTCTAATATCCAGAACTGCTGAATTTATTTAGAACATTGCTGATAAATTTGATAGAACTTGGTTGCTCATCTTATCACCATAGACTTTACACTGACCTCAGTAGTCTTCTGAAGAATTTTCATTGAACTCAGTTGCACTCTGCACACTTTCCAATGATCTGAACAGCTCTCTACAGACTTTCCAGTTTACATTGAACTCAGCGGTAATGTCACAAGTATATGTTGACCTCCTCGGACATCTGAAGACTTTTCACTGAACTCAGTAGCATTCCATAAAATTTAGCAACACTCCATTTATGTTCTATTTAACTCAACAACACTCCATAGACTTTTCATTGTGTTGGTGGCAATCCATAGACTTTCAGTTGGACTTAGCAGTCCTTGCAACTTTGAATCAATATCTACAGGGTTTGTTAGTCTTTGCATTGGACTCTGTTGCTTTCTGAATATATTCTGTAAAATTGTATAGTCCTCCGTGTGCTTTTCGTTGAACACAGGATCTCTTAAAATAATTATTTGTTGAATTCAGCAACTCTCCAGTCGAGCTGGACCCAGGAGCTTCATCCATCCATATGATCAGCACAGGTTAATAAAGGTTTCATAGATTCTTGCAAAGTACAAAGTTGCCATCATCATGCTGGGTTGGTGATTTAGTGATGAAATAATAATGCATTTGACAGCTAGCACGATTGCTACATCGTGACTCAGGCCTAGTCTCATCTCTTACATTATTTAGTTATCTATGGAGAAGATTAGAATATTACTGAGATTTCAGGTGTAATCATGCATGCTATGTACGTATAATGACGGAACATGTGACAGAGCTATCTCACGATTTACTGGAGAGGAAGTCAAAAAGGGTCAATCTGTACTCATAAAAGAACACTAATACAGCTTATACAAAGAGAGTGTGAATTACAAGCTCTACCATTCTCAGCCAGTAGTCGGTTGTGCAAACGTTAATGAGGATCATGGATTAATTAATTCATTTTCCTCTTCTGCATGTTGCAGGAAAGCACTTTTCATGTGAAGCCCATCAATATGATGCCTAGGGCAGATCTTAGTTCATATCAAATTAGTCCACACTATGGTTCATTCGTATTTAATTAATCCAGGCTTTATCAGCATGTTGCAAGAGATGAGCAATGATGTTCACATACAGTGATTACAGTGTAAGAAGTGCCGTTTGTTCTAATGCACTCAGAGGAATAAATGTCATTAGAACAAGACTTGGAGATCCACTGATTGTTCTGTTTTCGCACCCTTTTCATTCATTTGATTCATTTTCCTGAATCTTTTTCCGTCTACGAAAAAAAGTGACCAAAACCGCCATATGGCCAATATTTGTCCATTCTGAAATTTTAGTTAAAAGGAAACACATTTTTCAGCCATGCTTAAGTCTAACTAGAACCCAACTTCTTCCCTCCGTGTTTTCACCACATCACACATGGGTTCAGGAATGCTTTCCAGTACACGTCTGTCCTTCAAGCAGTGTTTCTTAGAGGTACCAAATACAGAAGACATATCACCTATACATTTATTTATTTTATTTATTTATTACTGGTATTTATAAATTTCCAACAGATTCTGCAGCGCTGTACAATTAGTGGAGAACATACAACACACACAGGCAAATACAAGAGGTAGAGAAGCCCTGCCTGTAAGCTAATAACTAGCCATTGAAGCTCATTCATACAGAATACTAGATAGCCGTGAGCTTACAATCTAAAGGATACCGTGGGGATCTGAGACAAGGGGTAGCAGGGGAAATTTGGAGGTGATGGCTAAAAGAGTTAACAGAGAGAACATACATACAGGGCCGCCATCAGGGGGTGATAACCATGATGGTTGTCACGGGCCTGACGGCCCTGGGGGGCCCGGACTGCTCTGGCACTCCCGAGCCCCACTTTCTTTCTCTGCATACATAGATCGCGAATATCGCTATCTATGTGTGCAGCCGCGGGCCCCCGGCTCCCTGTTATCACAGAGGGGGCCCAGGCAGCACACAGCTTCTCCTCTTCTCTTCTTTCTTCTAATAACTCTCGCGAGACCGGGTTACCATGGCAACGCTACGCGGGTCTCGCGAGAGTTATTAGAAGAGAGGAGAAGAGAAGAGGAGAAGCTGTGTGCTGCCTGGGCCCCCCTCTGCGGTAACAGGGAGCCGGGGGCCCCCTCATGCCACCAGACCACCAGGGTTGGAATCTCCCCCCTCCCTGGACACAGGTAAGCAGGGAGGGGGGAGAAACATTTAATTTAATTAATAAAAAATTTATGTGAAAATGCCCCTTCCTCCCCCCCCCCCAGATTGCACATTTACACACACACACTGCATACACTAACACAACACACACACACACTGCATACACTAACACAACACACACACTGCATACACGCACTGCATACACTAACACAACACACACTCTGTATACACTAACACAACACACACACACTGCATACACTAACACAACACACACTCTGTATACACTAACACAACACACACACTGCATACACTAACACAACACACACACTGCATACACTAACACAACACACACACTGCATACACTAACACAACACACACACTGCATACACTACACACAACACACACACTGCATACACTAACACAACACACACACTGCATACACTAACACAACACACACACTGCATACACCAACACAACACACACACTAACACAACACACACACACTGCATACACTACACATAACACAACACACACTCTGTATACACTAACACAACACACACACACTGCATACACTAACACACACACTCTGCATACACTAACACAACACACACACTAACACAACACACACACTAACACTAACACACACACTCTGTATACACTAACACAACACACACACACTGCATACACTAACACAACACACACTCTGTATACACTAACACAACACACACACACTGCATACACTAACACAACACACACTCTGCATACACTAACACAACACACACACTAACACAACACACACACTGCATACACTAACACAACACACACTTTGCATACACTAACACAACACACACACTGCATACACTAACACAACACACACACTGCATACACTAACACAACACGCACTGCATACACTAACACAACACACACTCTGTATACACTAACACAACACACACACACTGCATACACTAACACAACACACACTCTGTATACACTAACACAACACACACACACTGCATACACTAACACAACACACACTCTGCATACACTAACACAACACATACACTAACACAACACACACACTGCATACACTAACACAACACACACTTTGCATACACTAACACAACACACACACTGCATACACTAACACAACACACACTCTGCATACACTAATACAAGACACTCAGCATACACTAACACATATACTGCATACACTAATACAACCAGGGCCGTCTTTAACGCGGGGCAAACGGGGCAGCTGCCCCGGGCCCAGTTTCTCTTGGGGGGCCCGAGGCACCTGCCCCGTGGGCCTCCGCTGACCCGGGCGGGAGGTGGTGCCGGAAAGAGTCTGAGGGAGACTCGCTCCCCTCGCACTGATGCCGGAGCCGAAGATGACGCCATCTGCCGCATCCCTACGCCGGGCGCCACGAGGGAGCTGAAGAGGAAGCAGTGAGTGCCTCCCCTCAGCCTCTTCCTGCCCGACCGGCCACCCGCCCAGGAGCCCCACTGGACCCCAGGGAATCCCCCCAGCACTCCAAAAGGTAAGGAGGCTGGGGGGATTACATTTAAAAAAAAAATGTGTGTTTGTGTGTGTATTCGTGTTTGTGTGTTAGTGTATGTATGTGTGTTAGTGTGTATGTGTGTTAGTGTATATGTGTGTTAGTGTATGTATGTGTGTTAGTGTATGTATGTGTGTTAGTGTGTATGTGTGTTAGTGTATATGTGTGTTAGTGTGTGTGTGTTAGTGTATCAGTATGTCTGTGTGTGTGTGTCAGTATGTCTGTCTGTCTGTGTGTGTGTGTGTCAGTATGTCTGTCTGTGTGTCAGTACATATGTGTGTGTCAGTATGTGTATGTGTCAGTATGTCTGTCAGTGCGTCAGTATGTCTGTTAGTGCATGTGTATGCATGTGTCAGTATATCTGTCTGTGTGCCAGTATGTCTGTGTGTGTGTGTGTCAGTATATCAGTCTGTGTGTGCCAGTGTATGTGCCTGTGTGTGTGTGTCAGTATTTCTCAGTGTATGTGGGTGTCAGTATTTCTGTCAGTGTATGTGTGTCAGTATGTTGATCAGTGTTTGTGTCTGTGTGTGTGTGTGTCAGTATGTCGGTATATGTGTCTGTGTGTCAGTATGTCTTTATAT